GATTATATTTCAGCAAGTATTTACCATCAGCCATAACCTTAATATTTAAAACTAGAATCATACTAAAATTATAAAGTGAGAAATTATTTATTCCTGTGTAATCGATTTAACACAATTCTAATAATACGATATAAGTATTTTGAGGTTAAGAACCTACTTGCTGCAATACAACAAAGTTGCAATAATGTGTTTGCAACGTTCTCTTAAATCGGCTTTGCACGTGCAAGTCATTGATATGATATTGCTTGAATCACCCAGAATCACCTCACCAATTATATAACGTGAATCACTTTTTAAATCCGAAGTTTGTAAAAAGTAGGCAATTTATCGTAATTTAAAAACTTGGAAATTGCACGGTACACTATAGGAACTACGATAAATTTTCCCTAATCGGCGCCATGTTTTTAGGCTCCTCCCATTTGACGGATCCCAATTCGGTTGTATGCACTAACAGCGAGTCGAGAACCGGACATGTAGTCCAGTCAAATGAGGGAAATGGTTGAAGAGTACCTTATAATTTATAATGGAGAAAATGATTGAAAAACGGAGTCATTTTATCGGAAATTTCGTGAAGAACACGAATATGTAAATCAAAATTATTTGTCTGGCATAGGGCATAAATTGTTAATTTTAAATATTTAATAATTATTTTGAATTTTTTAAAAATTTCCGCGAATTTTGAGGCCTCTTTGCCAACTTTGGTTCTATGAGAGATATACAAAAAAGTCATGAATACAGAGTGATACCTTTAGAGTCTGAACGCAAAATTTTAGTCAGTTTATCAGTGATTATCGATGTGTATCCTGTTTCTGCCTCTAATATGTCTCTGACTAGACGTTCATGTCCGAGAAGGTGTCCTACCAACCTATCTCGCCTATTTCGTATTCATCATCATCATCATCATAAGGTCGTCAGTCCTAAGACTGGTTGGACACGCACCTCCACTCTTTCCTATCCTGAGCTAAACTTCGCATTTTCCTAAAACTAGAACAACTCACATCCTTAACTATTTGCGAACAATAATCTAATCTAGGTCTACCTCTACCCCTCCTAGCTCCCGTTTCTGCCTCTAATATGTCTGACTAGACCTTCATGCCTGAGAAGATGTCCTACTAACCTATCTCGCCTATTTCTTAATGACTTCTATGGAGTCCTCTGAGTATATGTTTAGAAAATTTTTAAAGTTGCATACATATTCCTTGTATTTATCTCTCTTGTCCCTTAATTAGTTATAAAGGATATGTGTAGGGTTGTGTTGTAGTTTTTCCGTATGTAGTTGTCAAAATTTTTGCTGAACAAATGTAATTTTTTATTGAACATGTGCGTAATTTAAATGTTTTACTTTAAATAGCAATTTAATGATTTTAAAAATGCTGAAGAATTAATTAATTCAATAACGGAACAAAATACGTATAAATAGAACGAATATAATTTATTCTGTCGCTTTAAATTAATCGATCTGATCCGATTAGTTTTAATCAGTTACCACGATTGCCGTTAGTATACA